CTGGTTTTCCCCAACTGCTACAATAGACCACCCGGTCAGAAAGGCAGCATTGACAAGAGAACCCAGGAAAGAGACAGGAACTGTACTGACAGAAATCTTAGATTTTAAAGCAACCCTATCTGGGGACAAAGGTGAAATTCCAGCTAAAACACCAAAAATCTACTGCCACTGAATATATTCCTGCTCATAGTGACCCTATAGGACAGAGGAGAACTGCCCCATAAGGTTTCCAAGGCTGTAAATCTTTATAGAAGCAGACTGCCTCATCTTTGTCCCGTTGAGTGGCTGGTGGGTTCAAAGCACTGACCTTTTTGGTTAGTATTCGAATGCCTTAACTACTATGTCTCCAGAGCTGCTTGAAATTCCAGCTCAAAAAACTCACTGCCATCGAGTCGATTTCAACTAATAACAACCCTTACTGGGTTTCTGGGGCAGTAAATCTTTACAGAAGTAGATTGCCCTATCTTCCTTCTACAGAGTGCCTGGTGGGTTTAAACTGCCAACCTTCTGGTTAACAGTCAAATGCCTTAGGCACTGTGCCACCAGAGCTCCTTGAAATTCCAGCTAGCATTTACTATTTCCACAGCTCTTCCTTACTTCATCCAATCAAAGCCTGTACTTGGCTCTTCCAAAGCAGATGCTGTCAGCCTGCCAGTCTCTGAGCACTTTGGGGTTATTATCTCAACTGTGTGTTTTTATTTCATTAAATTTTGGGGGTAAACTTTTATCAGCATATAATATATATCTCAAAAGCACACATTATGAGTGTCTAGCTCACTGAATTTTAACAACTGAATACATTCATGTAACTAACACCCATATTAAGAAATAGAACATACTTTGTTGTTGTTGTTATGTGCCATCGAGTCGGACCCAACTCACAGCGACCCCTCCCTGGGTTTCCAAGGCAGTATCACTACGGAAGTAGATTGCCCAACCTTCCTTCCGAGAAGTGGCTGGTGGGTTTGAACTGCCAGCCTTCTGGTTAGCAGTCAAGTGCCTTAGGCACTATGCTACCAGAGCTCCTACAGAACATACTAAGGCCCCAGAAATCCTCCTTGTGTCCCTCCAGTCAGATACCACCCTTCATTAACACCACAGATCAATTTTGCCAAAACAACTTACTTTAAAACTTATATTAGTATGTCTCAGATGTGGATTATATAATGGACAGAGGGTAAGATATAGAGACATGAACAGCATAGAACGGTGATTGAGAGCACAGGCATATATTTAGACAGATCTGGACTTGAATCTTGGTACTACCATTTCCTAGCTGTGTGCCTTTGGTAAAATTACTTAACCTCTTTTTAACTCTTGGCTTTCTAATCAGAAAGGGGATAAAATGGGCCTTTGTAGGAATAAATGAAATATCATATGTAAACCAAGTATGGTGCCTGGCATAGTGTTATTATTTGTTAGAGGAGGGTTCAACAAATGATAGCTTGCAGACCAACTGCCTATATTCATAAATAAATTTCTGTGGAATACAGCTACACTCATTTACATATTGTCTATGGCTATTTCTACACTATAAGGACAGTTAGTAGTTGCAACAGAGAATACTATGGCAAGCAAAGCTTAAATATTTACTGTCTAGCTCTTTAAGGAAAAAGTTGCTGATCTACAGCATAAGCTCCATGAGAAGAGGGACTTGGTCACGTTTGCTGTTGTATCCATAGGGTTGAGAACACCATCAGCACTCATGCAGTGGCTTTTAATTACATTACTGGCAACAAATACTTTTTTCTTTTAAGTCATCATTAGTGGAGTGTTATGCGTTTTTTAGTGAACACATTCCTGAGCCATGTTGTAAGAAAGGAGTAAAATCACAAAAATTAAGCTCAAGAAAACTTGAAAGATGTCAGCCCACAGTATCTATGAAGATCAATAGGTTTATAAGTCCTAGCAAAAGAGAAACAGTGATGGGTAATGAATGGAAATGGCACTGAACTTGGAGTCAGAAGAACATGGCTAGAATCTTAGCCCTGCCATTAACAAGTTGCCCCAGATACGGAAAAATTCTCAGAACCTAAACACCTATAACTGCAAAGGGAAAAATAAATACCACACTTAGCAGGGTTGGCAGAAATAACACAGCCGGCTGCAAGTGTTTTGAGAATCATTATTTTAACTTAAAATAAGTTTATGAAACAACGTTCTATAGAACTTGCTATATTGCAAGATAATTATTTGTTTCCTTATCTCTCTTACTACTTTGCACACTCCTAATGAATGGAAAACACATCTACCACTTCTATAATGTATCTCATCTTGTATTTTCATTGGACAGCAATGGCATAGAAAGCCTTTCAAGATTTGGTTCCCGAGTAACTTTTTAACCTCTACCTCTCACTTTCTTCACCATCATCCTCCCATCCCTTACCTCTAAACTCCACACCTATTTGCAAGACCTTGAATAACTACATACTGCCTTGTCTTCGTATATGATGAGCTGCTCTGGAATATTCTTTCCATTAGGTCGACTCCTATCAGTCTCATGGAACTCAGTTGAGCAGTGCCTGGAAGGATTTCTCATATCTACAGATGTTGTTTGCTACTCCTACAGCCCAACAACCATTGAGCCCCGCAGTGGAGCACCTGCCACACTGCCTTGTATTGGCAACCAATTCAAGCTCGATTCCTACCTGGGTTACAAATTCCTTGATGATCAGGCCTGCATCTTATTTACTATTGGATCCCCACTGCAGACTGGTAACATTATCAAGTGCTAAGCATTTTGTGGTATAGTAAATTACTTTGTGTGGCTTTTCTACCCATAGGTCTTTGTAAACTCCAAGGTGGGATTTGCTATGAGCAACTGAGGAGCTCCTGATTGC